CCTTCCAATCGCTGCCGACGCCGCCGCTGCCGAGAACGCCTCCGTGGAGAACCGCTGGTGTCAACTGCGAGACACGATTCAGTCGACGGCGCTCGCCGTCCACGGTCACGCTCCCCGCCAACACCAGGACTGGTTCAACGACAACGACGCCGCCATCAGAAATCTGCTGGCTGAGAAGAACCGCCTACACAAAGCCTACGTAGATCACCCCACTGATGCCACCAAAGCTGCCTTATACCGCAGTCGCCGCCACCTCCAGCAACGACTGCGCGAGATGCAGGATGCCTGGACTGCTCGCAAAGCTGAGGAGATCCAAGGGTAGGCGGACCACAACGGATAGAAGAACTTCTTCTCCGCGATCAAAGCTGTCTACGGACCGCCGAAGAAGGGCACCGCTCCTCTCCTCAGCGCCGACGGCACTACCCTTCTGACTGAGAAGACACAAATCCTACAGCGATGGGCCAAGCATTTCCGAGGCGTTCCCAACCGCCCCTCCGCGATCTCCGAGGCCGCGATCAACCGTTTGCCGCAAGTGGAGACCAACGTGGACATCGACCTCCCGCCATCTCTCCAGGAAACCATCAGAGCCGTGCAGCAGCTCTCCAGTGGGAAAGCACCCGGATCGGACGCAGTCCCTGCTGAAGTCTACAAGCACGGAGGTCCAGAACTCATGGATCATCTGACTGCGCTCTTCCAGGAGATGTGGCGTCAAGGTGAAGTCCCGCAAGATTTCAAGGACGCAACCATCGTGCATTTCTACAAGCGAAAAGGAAACCACCAAGTCTGCGACAGTCGCCGCGGCATCTCCTTACTGAACATCGAACGGAAGATCTTGGCTCGTCATCGTGGGACCACGTATATGATCTTCGCCGCCCTTCAACTTCAGGATAAATGCCAGGAGATGCGGACCCACCTGTATTCTACCTTTGTGGACCTGACAAAAGCCTTCGACACGGTGAATCGTGAAGGACTGTGGAAGATCATGCAGAAATTCGGCTGTCCGGAACGATTCACTCAGATGGTGCGTCAGCTGCACGACGGTATGATGGCGCGAGTCACGGACAGCGGAGCCGTCTCAGAGGCATTCGCAGTGACCGACGGAGTGAAGCAGGGATGCGTGCTGGCGCCAACCCTCTTCAGTCTTATGTTCCTCTGCCATGCTGATGGACGCCTACCGCGACGAACGTCCCGGGATCCGCATCGCCTACAGGACGGACGGTCACCTGCTGAATCAACGGCGGATGTACTTCCAATCGCGCGTATCCACAGCCACCGTTCACAAACTTCTCTTCGCCGACGACTGCACCCTGAATACCACGTCGGAAGAGGAGATGCAACACAGCATGGACCTGTTCTGCGCCGCCTGCGAGAACTTTGGGCTGGTCATCAACACGCAGAAGACCGTGGTGATGCACCAACCGCCACCCAACTCAGCCACAGCCCCCAACGCGCCGCCGCAAATCAGCGTGAACGGAACCCAACTGCAAGTGGTGGAGAAATTCCCGTACCTGGGCAGTGCCCTCCCCCGCAACACCAAGATCGATGACGAAGTCGCCAACAGGATCTCGAAAGCCAGTCAAGCCTTCGGTCGCCTCCAAAGCACAGTTTGGAATCGTCATGGTCTTCAGCTGAGCACGAAGCTGAAGATGCACAAGGCCGTCATCCTGCCAACGCTGCTGTACAGAGCGGAGACTTGGACAGTGTACACAAAGCAGGCACGCCGACTGAACCACTTTCACCTCAGTTGTCTTCGTCGCATCCCCAGGCAGAACTGGCAGGATCGAATCCCCGACACAGATGTGCTGGAACGGACGGGAATCCTCAGCATCTACACCATGCTGAGACAAATGCAGCTGCGTTGGAGCGGCCACCTGGTGCGCATGGACGACGAGCGACTACCCAAACGACTCTTCTACGGAGACGTCGCGACGGGTTCTCGCCGTCAAGGAGGCCAGATTTGCCGTTACAAGGATACCCTGAAGTCCTCCCTGAAGCGTCTGCAAATCAACCCCACCAACTGGGAGGAGCTCGCACTCGATCGACCGACCTGGAGGAGGACAGTGAAGACAGGCGCTGCGATCTACGAAGCCAACCGCATCGCTGCCGCCAAAGCGAAACGTGAAGCCCGCAAATCACAACTTCGCCCAGTACGCAACGCTGCCGCACAACCGCTTGCAACGTGTCCTAGATGTCAACGGACATTCCGGCCTCGAATCAGACTTGTTGGACATCTTCGGATTAACTGCGCCTCTCGAACGGCACCAACCATTGTCCCCCCGCCCGCCTCTTTTCCGTCCTCTCTGCCGCCAACTACCTCTGACTCCTTTACTACCCCACCACTTCTAACCTCCTTCTCGTCCTCCTCCTCCCCCTCCCCCTCCTCCTCGCACATTAGCGACCCTGGCACAGCAACCGACAGCACCCCCACTTCCCCCGACTGCAGCGATGAGGAGCAGGACAACACCTGCCCTCACTGCGACCGCACCTCCACCTCTCGCATCGGCCTGGTCGGTCACTTGCGAATCCATCGCACAGAGACTAGAGAACCAGTGCCTGGAGCACCAACCTATACCCACCATGCCAGACTCAACTGCCCACACTGTCCTCGCACTTTCAGGCATCGCATGGGCCTATTCGGCCACATGCGAATCCATGACGACCTGCGGTAGACAACTGCCGGCTACGCCACACATCCACACACTCCCTACCCTCCTACATCATCATCATCATCATCATCATCATCATCATCATCATCATCATCATCATCATCA